GCTGATGTGAGTGAGACGTGAATGAGTCGTATTGATGTAGGCTCCGATCGTGGCATCCAAGAGTTGCCGCAAAGGGGCTTTGTCCAGTGACATGAGCTTACCAGAGTTCCTCCTTCCATGAAGTCCCACCATGCCAGGAGTGGTCAAAGTACACCGACGCAGAATGTCTGACAGTACTGTTGCACACTTGACACTTTTGACCACCAGAGGTATTATAGCTGCTAGCTCATTTTTCCCAAGGGAGTGGCTGAGCGCACATGCCCACAGAACGTCATTAATGGCAGGGTGTGTGTCCTGATTGTAACTCAGGTTGAGATGTGTCATGGCCAAAGTGGCCAGCTTGTAGGCCCGCATGGGGTAACCCCGGTGCTCCATGTATCGTGCTATAGTAAAAAGCTGTGAGTAGCTCATGCCGGTTGTAGCAGCATCGAGAACGATTTGGTAAGCGGTCTCAAAAGCTATGTGATCCTTTTCACATAGGGTCAGTGCAGAGAGGGCACAGTTTTGAGGATCCTTCATGGCACACTGTAGAGCAAGCGTCCTCGCACTGCCGGCCAGCTTCTCCTGCTGATGGCAGTCCAGATGCAGACGGACGATGGTGCTGTTGGACATCACTGTTGTAGCAACAATACTAGTGGCTTCTGTTGGAGTGAAAAGTGTAAACCAGTTTTGCATTATACTGTCCAGTGCATAAACACCTGGGGAGAGAAAGAAAGATTAGCCACAACTGATAAAACTCAGCAGATGCAAGAGATTCCACTTGCTACAAAGCCTAAGAGGTTACCAGGACATCCCAGCAAGAAGGGATAAACCACACAGCATGGCTGGCCAAGGACATTGAAACAAAGGCTACTGTGCAAACCCTAGCAGACAGCAAAATGCAGAGAATTACAAAAATAGCCTCCAAGATAAGCTTTAATCTCTTGGTGTGACAGCTGAACTGCTTCACTTGTTATTTAAGATAATCTGAATAAAATGTTTTGTCTCATTTGGTCTCATCATGTCACTGAAGCGCAGCCTTCATGCTGCACACCAGGGCAATAGCAACTTTTCTCACTCTCCATCTCAAGGCACAGCACAGCCTTACAAGAATACGAAAGTATGCAAAATGGCTTTCTTAATACACCACCATGGCACACCTTAACAATAATAACTAAGCTCACCTTAAAACAATCAAATTCACAAGCATCTGAACATCAAGATCCTTATTTGGGGAACACTCTGAGAGATATGAACAACTGCATATTATCTGAAATTGGTAGTTTTCTTAGTATCACTCTATTCCCTGAGTGTATTTGACAGGAGGAGAAAATAGTTGACTGATGGGCTCCATAAATAGAACCTTTTAGCCAACTAGAGTGCCTTATTATTAGAGGCAGTTTACACAAATCTATGAGCCTACCTAAACCAAACACACAGGTCTTCATTTTCTCTGTAGGACTCTATTGCTTCCCATACAACCCTTCACTCATCTGCAGCAATTCAGCATAGCCAGACACCACCACATCTTCATTTAAATCAACAGATTCCTAGCTTTACCAACTTGATTAAGTCTCAGGAGTATTTTCCATGACATTATAGGTTCTTTTATGGGATACTTCTATTAGAATATGCAAACTAATTTAAAGCAGTATTAAACCCAGTATTTTATTTGCTGATATTCAACTGCACAAAATAATACTCAGGCACTACTATCTGTAATACAGTCTCAGCAAAAATTGTCTTAGCAAAGATATAAAAGCAATAAAACAAGAGCATTGCATGAAAATTCGCAGACACAAACCACTTTCTGGTGGAGGGCACACAAAGTCAAGCTGCATGTCTCTACACTACTGACAACAGTAATTTCCCAGTTAAGCATAAAGCAAAGGATAAATTAATCCAGAGAATAAGCAGCAGCAATCCCCTAAAGTTCTGAAACTCAAGAAGCATCTGTGTGATACAATTCAACTCAGATACATGAAAAAGGAATAAATACTACAGAAAAATGTTTTCCAGAAACACCTTTGCTGACAATTAAAATTGCTCCCTTATCATAAGTAGTTATATTGTTCCTATTGCCACAGTTGCTGATTCTAGATTTTTTTTTTAACAGCTACACAGCTTTTAATGCACTCATCTTCATTTTCAAATTTGGTATCCTCATCTTGCAGACAGTAGACCATTACACAGAAGCTAAGGGATGCATCACGAAGACACATGAAATCTATGGCAAAGCCCAGAAATGATCAGAATGTGCTGCTGCGAGCACTGTTCTCCCACTGCTAAACTGAGTACTTGGGTATTGAGTATTTGTATATGGGTATTTCCCATAGGTTATGCACACTCCCACCTTATGGGGGAAAGAAGTCACACTGCAGTTCTCAGCTATTGTCTCAGTTGCTCTGTGCCTAAACACACCCACTAATCATTGCCATAATGTGCTCTCACCAAAAGAATTTTACAGATGAAGAGAAAGTGGGAGGCATTTTCAGAACCTGGGTGTTGACAAGGAGAGGGGTTTTTTATTAGGAACTGCAATGATAGGACAAGGGGTAATGGGTTCAAACTGAAGGAGGGGAAGTTTAGGTTAGATATTAAAGTTTTTTACTGTAAGGGTTGTGAGACACTGGGCACAGGTTGCCCAGGGACGTGGTGGCTGCCCCAACCCTGGTGATGTTCAAGGCCAGGTTGGATGAGGCCTTGAGCAACCTGATCTAGTGAGGAGGTGTCCCTGCCCAGGGCAGGGGGTTGGGACTAGATGATCTGTAAGGTCCATTCCAACCCTTAAATTCTATGATTCTATGAAGGTCAAGCCCTCTAAGAGTAGCTGACAAGAGAAGGATCTCAGAACATACCTACTTCTGTTGCACATGTTACCAACCACCTCACCATTTCCCGCCGTCGCCAGTTCAGTGTTGACAATGTCATCCGCATCACCTGTTAAAACAGCACAGACAAAATACAAATTAATCCTAATGCAAACCGAGGCCATAGACCACCAATTATGGATTTTAAATAACTCAAATACATCGGAGTTCAAAATGTCAGCCTCTTGCCCTCTCAACTCCCTTAACTCTTCTTCAGCTGATATGTCAAAGGATTTGAAAAATACTGTCAGAGAGTAATTCCAATTGCAAATCCTTCAAGGATAGAGGGGAGAGACTGTTCTGTGGGGAAGAAAAAAACCCCACCCCACGAAAAATCCTCCTCCCAAGCAACAAAAAAACCCCAATCAATTACCAATTCTTCAAATTAAATTATACGTCTCCTCCCTCTATGCACAGTATATCAGTGATCATACTATGGTATTAGTTTGTAGCAATTAAATAAAGAGCATAATAGGTCAATCACAGAGGTCTGAGAGATGATCTTAAACTCAAAAAATGCACTCATAAAACAGCTCGGATTCATCAGCATTTGTAAGAGGGTTCTCAACCCATATCTCTTCCCAATCCTATGGTTACTTCAAAGTGGCATGTAGTCTCCATCACATTTGTTACTCCTGCCACCTCTTTTAGTCCTATGCTACAGATTAGATAATTATGAAGATGGAAAGACTGACAAGAAGCTCAAAAGCACAGACAATCTTTAAGAAGTCTGGTTATAAACAACCATGTGTGGTTCCAAGAAGGCCTCTAAGCATTCCCACCTTGTGACCCTGGTGACTGGCTGTACACCACCCAAAGTTACACCATAAGGCCAGCTTTGCGGGTCTCAGACACTGTGGTATCATTTTAACTAAACAGTAATTGAAGTGCTAGATTGGAGAACAGCATTTTGAAAGAAAGCAAAGTGATCTGCAAGGAGCAATGGAACACATGTTAAAGTGTTAGAATTGTAAGGCAAATCAATTAAGGCTAAGGTAAATCATGGAACCAGTCTTTGCTTGAAGTCCTTCTGGAAGAAAACCAGGCAGGCCCAGATCACAATACTTTGGAATGAAAGTATCTGTCCCATTGAATCAAAGGGAACGTGACTAGGTGACTTCCTGCACTGATGCATGCACAAATTGAAGGCTAACACTCTTCTAATAGCCATGATGAATCTTCAGCTTCCTCCAGGCTGAATCCAAGAGAAAACAGAAGGTTATTGGCTGAATTCTGCCACTGGTGAGAGAGGGAAGGAAGTAAAAAACCCAGTGTGAATGATGACTCCCCTGAAAAGTCTTCTGTGATGACTTCCCTCACTGTAAAAGTATCAGCAGACACCTTCAGCATATGTAACAGGCCTAATAACACTTCCAATGTAGACAGTCCTAAATTGAGAGAAAAAACAGTACCATATCTAGTTTGACATGAAAAAGTTTCCTGATGAACTATTCTGGAATTAGGTTCCTTTCATTTGACTAAACTAACAAGCTGAGAACAGGAAGAGATGGCCCTTTACTGATGATAAAAACACCAAGTACCTCAAATAAAGCATGTATTGATGTCCTGACCAAAGAGCTGAAGGTGATCTACTCCGCAACACATGCAGGCAAAGAACTATTTCACTTCCGCTCAATACGTTCTTGAGCTAAAAGAGAGTTCTACATCTGTCCAAGATCCATCCAAGATCTGTGCTATCAACTGAAGACAGCTTCTCAATAAGAAGTCTGAAAATGATGAGAGGCCTCTGGGAATTACATAGCTTATCTGAAAGCTAAGCTCTTTTCCACACAAAATAACCTTGACTTTGTCATGATTTTTATATGAATATCTTATAGAGGAACAGAAGATCTTACCACCGAAAGAGATACAAGAAATGGTCAAGCAACCATTAACTCCTACACCAATGCAAAATCACTTCATCATGCACACTGGAAGTAAGTTTATTTATTTATTTATTCATTCATTCACAGGTCTGGAGGGAAAGGACAACACTTGCCAAATATACATTGAGTGGTAACCTGCACTGTCTTGCCTAGCAGCTCTGCCAGCAGTGCCTGCTTGCATGTGTGCAGTAATACTCGCACTGATGCAGCACAGAACAGATAAACAGAGGAACAGAAGCCCCTTCTGTACCTGCAGATCCTACAGCATCTATGATAGGAAGGTTCTGAAGGACAGAACACACCTGAGAAGCTCCATGTTGGGGGTGCATGGGAGACTGGGAGGAGACACAGCTGGGACAGGTAACCCAAATTGACCAAAGGGATATTCCATACCATATGACATCATGCTCAGTATATAAAGTGGGAGGAAGAAGGAGGAAGAAGGAGGAAGGGGGGACATCTGGAGTGATGGTGTTTGTCTTCCCAAGGAACCATTACACATGATGGGCCCTGCTCTCCTGGAGGTGCTGAACACCTCCTGCCCGTGGGAAGCAGTGAATTAATTCTCTGTTTTGCTTTGCTTGTGTATGTGTGTATTTTGCTTTTTCTATTAAACTGCCTTTATCTTAACCCATGAGTTTTTCCAGCATTTACCCTTCTGATTCTCTCCCCTGTCCCTTTGGTGGGGGACTGTGTAAGCAGTTGCTAGTTCGAGTTAAACGACGACAACATGCTGCCCTTGGAAACAGCATAAAGAACCCAGGAGTCTACACATTGCTCCCAGATCCAGAACAACATAAGAGGCTTTGCTCTCTTAGAGATCCTACTGACAGAGTTGTGAAACTGCTGGTACTATCCCCCATCCCAGCTAGTCACTTCTGTAGCTGAGGTAGAACAGTACACCTGTGAAGGTACTGCTGAATAAGTCTATCATGTGAGAGGAGAAAGAGTTTTCTAGGGCACATAAATGCCATAAGTAGTCAGATACTAGACAGTGAATATAGACAATCTAATTACCATTAGGCTGAGGGGAAGAGAAGGGAGAAGCATCTGTAGGCCACTAGAGACAGTGCTGACACTTCACGATTTTTTCAGGAAAAGTGCTACTGTAGAAAACAACTCAGTTGGGAGTTACTACCAGGCAACTGCTATACATCTCCCTTTTGGAAAGCGAACTACCTTGAATACTCTTACAAAACCTTCGCTACTCTTGGGATAGAACAGCGCACAAGTTCTACATCAGTTTGCTCCAAACCATGAGACTGAGGATAAAGTGTGGGTACATAGTACTACCTTCACAACACCTTGCTGAAGACATTCTGATGACACTGTCGAGCCCAAAGGAGTATCCACGTATACAGTGGCATCCAAAGTGTGCTGCTTCCACTGAATGATACTTGGTGAATGCTTGAGTCAACACATGGGTCAGTATTAAGGATTTTTCTCTCTCTCATATGAACAAACAATTAAGGCAGAAACATTCCAAGATATGAAGAAACAAGCAGGTTTCCACAGCAACCTTGGAAATATGAAAGGCTAACAAAGCATACAGAATCTCAGCTCTCTCATTAAAGACTTTGGCTTTCTAACAGCCTAGAACAGACAAATAGTACCTTTCTTTAGCATGAGAAGCAACTGGGATAATATCCTTTCTCCAGAAGTCTTTGGAGCTTTGTTTACTGAAGCAAAGTAATAAATTATTTTCAGATCTTTGCATGGTTTTTTTTAAGAATTCCCTGAAGAGGGATGAAGATATTTATTTTTCTTGAAATGAATTGTGTAAACAGTAAGATTCATCAGTGTCAGGCAATATGACTACTTAGCTGTCTCCTTGTACCTTGCAAAGTCTCTCCTACGAGCCTGAAAACTGATCTGAGGTTCTTGTACACCTCATGCTGAGTCAGATGCATCTGACTATACCAGAGCTTGAGGAGTATAGGATTTGATGGAAGAAGTGAGAGTGCTGCTGTCAGCAGAGTCTGCCTTAGCAACAGGCCATTACAGTTGACCTTGGGTTTCTCTAGTAATTCAACAGGCACGTACGAAATCTCATTTAGGGGAAAGGAAGAGAAGGAATAGGAAGAAAGCCTTGATGGCCCTGCAGAAAATAGTGCACTTCTTGCAAGCAGAATAATTTTGCTTTCTAGCCAGTCCTACATATACTCCTGAACCCACTGCACTGGTCCTCTCTCCTCCCTGAAGAGAGCAGTGCCCTGCAACCAGCACCTGCCAGCTCTCTCTTCCACCCAGGTGGTGCAAAGGGGCTGTGCAGACCCTTGATCTGTGTTTACCAGTACACTGAGATTTGCATCAGAAATCAGAATTTAAAATCAACTCCAGACAGAGTCCAAAGAGAGCATCCTTTCCTGTACTTAAAACCTGCATGTGGGAGCTGACAGCTGGTTTGAAGGCCTTGCAGGCATCCACCTTGAGTCGATCATTGTGTACCCCTGAATGACTGCAGCAGCTAGAAGGAGGCACTCTCACCAGAAGAAAGAGGAACAAGAGCCAAAAGAAGAGAAAGCTTTTGGACAAACAGGATGATAAACGAAATACGTGCTTATGTAATTTGTAGCCAATGACAGGTTGCTTGTAACATGTTTATCCAATGAACAAAAGATATGCTTTATGTAAAAGGTATAAATAGGGCTAATTTGTAATAAAGAGAGCTTTTTGCCTTTTGCCATCATTTATGTGTATGTGTTTATGTCACATGTCCATCTCAACCGCGACATCTGGCAACCCAGACGTGATACTGGATCGTGATCCCGACGATCATCCCTGAGGGCTGCAGGGCGAGGTGCAGCGGAGACAGAGCCCAGTGAAGCATTAAGCAGAGGATTCTGCAAAGATCTGGACCGACTTTGACACCTTGGATAAGGTGAGCCACTGGGGACTAGCCACTGGTTGAAGATGGGAAATAATCTGACCAGTGAAGAACAAACTGTATTGGGCACATGGAAGGCTCTTTTAAAATGCGAGGACATTAAAACAACAGACTTCACCCTACCAATGTGCTCATATGGGCAAAGGCTCAAGATTCTCCCGCAGATGCCAGGGTTGCTTTTAGTGTATGAGCCTGGAAAGACGTGGGGGATAAGATGCGGGATGTGTCTTCACGAGGGGACAAGCATGCAGCAGTTAGCCACTACATGGACATTATTGTATGAAACGTTGAAAG